TGTTCTAAAAAATATGTAAAACATATAATAATGGCCTCATATTTTTGCATTCTAGTTGTATAGTGATAGTCAAATTAGTTCTTTCTAAACATCCTTCTTTACTGCGTAAATGTATAACCTTGAGTTTTTATCTTTCCAATATAATGTGTGGTATTTCCAGAATACTGCGGAAGGACCAAAATTATATTTTGTTCAGAATAAAATTTTATTAAAACCATTAGGTTCTCATTGTTCATAAGATGAACTTTAGAAGCGGTTGAGGATGGCCAAGTGGTTAGCCTGCCGGACTGTGAAACCGAGGATCCATTGTTAGCGGCCTATTGCCGAAAAAAAAAACCGCTCTCCGCACTCTGTGGTTGTAAGTTCGTTATAAGTTTGATAATCAAATCCCACTGTCCGATAAGAGTAGCCAATGAGTTAGCGATGAAGGCTATTGACTAGCTACTTTGTCTCTAGCCTATCAGTTCAAAATTAGGGACGACTAGCAAAGATACCCTGCGTGTAGCTTTATTCGGACATTATCCGAAATAGTTACATTTTAACCGCTTTTTTATAAAGTGTACATTTTTTGTTTTTTACATATAATGTGTAAACCAATTGTTTTGTTATTACAGAATGGCGAAAGGCACATGAAACTTGTATTTTTTTCCGAAGCTTAACCAAAAACGTTCAGAATTATTCATGCTTCGTTATTTGTAAAACTACATTTTATCAACCGTAAGTACTGGATTGTGCGATTCCAGTCACGCATTTATCGCCCCTTTGTGGGAACATTTTAAGCATCAAGGTTCCAAATAGTTTAAGTAAACAAACTAATTTTTGTAGGAGCATTTATGTTTCGTTACGAATTTCTCATACTGAGTATCGGATTGACTTTTTGTATTTTGATATATAATATTCTAGTTCACTTTCAACCTATGCCTATAAAAATATTTTTGTTATATTGATTTCTGTACCATTTTCACTTAGAATAACAACCTTTCCTTTAAGCTGAAATTTACTTGTTCTAAATTACGTAAAGCTGTTTGGTGATTTAAAGAAATTTGCTATTGGCGCTTCCTGGTGGCAGACTGTAAAATCGTATACTCACGAGATATCGTTTTGTTTCTGAGCGATATCTAAATGTAAGATTATGGCGAATTGAAAAAAAAAAGGTTAAAGGAACAGAATTTGTATGTGTATATGTATGTATAATAATAAAAGAGGTGTGTCTGTGTGTGACCGCCATAAGTCCAAGAGGAAAGAACCTAGAAACTTGAACTTTTGCACCCATACTAAGTTGACCCTGAGGGTGTACACCTGGATATTATTACATATCCACATGCATGCGCATCTTTTTATTAGGCAAGCTAGCGAAAAACCACATAGAAAAGAATATGTGAACACCATAGCTCCAAGAGGAAAGAACCTAGAAACCTGATATTTTGCACCCATACTAACTTGACCCTGAGGGTGTACACCTGGATATTATTACATATCCACATGCATGCGCATGTTTTTATTAGGCAAGCTATCGAAAAACCATATAGAAAAGAATATGACCACCATAGCTCCAAGAGGAAAGAACCTAGAAACCTGATATTTTGCACCCATACTAACTTGACCCTGAGGGTGTACACCTGGATATTATTACATATCCACATGCATGCGCATGTTTTTATTAGG